CACTTGAGTATGCACACCTTATAGGCTGCTCATACACTTATCATTGTAACATACCTTTATCCAGTTTTTGTAGGCCTATTAACCTCATGATTATCATGGCGAATGTTAATTCTGAATCGAACTTATCCTCATGCTTTATTATATTAACTGTGGTTAGACGTTCTCGTGTGGAACAAACCTCATCGATTATCATACTGTAGACCTATTAAGACGAAAAATACAAATATTTACCTAATTAGCAGGCTGTGAAGGCGCGGAAAAGACCTGTTTAGTAGGGCACGTGTGGTCCAAGTAAATTTTGTTTTTCATTTACTCATAATTTAAATTAGATACATTAGGAAAATGTTCAAAATGATTGGCAATATTTCACTGTGACGCTGAATGTGTGCAGTAAATCACACTTAAAGTGAAAATCAGGTCACGTGAGACAACGCGTGGCCCCCGCCACGCTGTCACCATGTTATCACGCTTCAAGCAAATACTGCTCAAGATGGTCACTGAAATTATTTTGAATTTCATGTTTATGGTAGGGAATAGCATACACTAGGCCCAGCATTGCCAGCCATTTCTCAACGTTACCATTTAAAATATTGTGGATAAAAACCACGTTCAATTTAAAATAACCCACCAATTAAACAGCTCTTTAATTCCGTCAAATATAATTGTGTATGACACAGAAAAGCTTTTCTCTTCGCGTATGGGGAAGTTATTCAATAAAAGCACCAGTTGCCTGATGATCAAATATATTTTAATATTTTTTAATAATTGTATTTCCATCCTTTATCAAAGGCCAACAACACGAAAGTATAGGAATCAGCTCAGAATAGTGCGCACTGGACATTGATGATTCGGACGATGTGAGGCAAGTTTCACGAAACCTTCCTACATCATCCCACGCCCATTGAACGAGTGTTTTTGTTTGTTTGTTTGTTTGTTTGTTTGTTTTTTTTGTTTTTTGTTTTGTTTTGTTTTTTGTTTTTTTGGTGGAACTCGTGTTATGAAGTTGTTTGAACGTCTAATTCATTCTAGAAATTTCAATATCGGCCACTCTTTGATTGGAAGTATTTGAGCGGAACTTATTAAGCAACAGCCGGGTTGAAACGTAAACACTAAATACAGTAATGTATAGGCGGCCTATTAATATTTTAGGAGAAATAGCAGAACATTTTGTGGACAACACCAGTTGACCCTGCGTCGATACTTTATAGGCCTACTGCTGTATTTGTGGACAACAATAGTATGTCGTGGTACTAGTTACTTAGGATGCTCAGACACATTAGTTTCCTAACAGTAGGCCTAGCCTAATTTGAGAAGTCCTGTTTAGTAACATGGTGGACAAAAAGATCTACTTGTACAGTAGGCTAAATAAGCAACAATCGTAGCATTTTGAGGAAAATGACAGACAATACGTTATAGAGGAAACAACGTCAATTGCATTTTATGGAAAAAGGGAGTTGATGCATTTGTAGTAGTGACAAAACTAAGATCCGGATAATGAACATCATTCGTTACAGTTAGTTCTCTTGCTCATTATTCGGATTCTCTATGCTCCCTACTAGATGGTGCGACAAATTGAGATGTATCGCTACATTAACATGCATTACCATAGTGATGTTCAGACATGCCATTCCCCATTACCATGCTTATAATGTGCTACATAATGTGTTCCGCACCGTAGTTGTTCGTCATTCATGTTGTACAGGGCGCTAATGTTAATAAGAGGGCAGCCAACAATCCTTTTACCATTATCACTTTATTTTTTTCATTCTGTTTTTTTTTTTCTTCATTCTGTTAATTTTTCATATATGTCACTGGCTTTATGCAGGATTTCCAGGTGTTCTTAAATGTTCGGTTCCTGTACATTCTTTAAAAGATGTGTTCTGTTTTGTTACATTCATTTTGTATATTTTATCCGCTCCGGTATCTTTTTCTTGTTGCTTTACCATGCTACTCATTTCATTCGCACTTCAATTCAATTCAATTCAATTTATTCGCCATTTGTTGAGCAACATTGGAATTGCCTAATATAACAATCACTACATTTACAGAAACAATCACAAATCTCAAGAACAAATAAATTAAATAACAAGAAAATCATCCATGAAAAATTACATTTTGATCATTCAACAGCCTGATAGCTGCAGGATAGAAGCTTTTTTGAAAATCTAGCCTTCCTAGCATGAACAGAACGGCATCGCCGACCACTGGGAAGGAATTCAAAGTACCTCGACTTTTAGTCCAACATTTGTTACCTCTCCATCTAATAATTACGATAATTTATTCAGTTATCAATTATTCATCATGCTTTATAATTCTAGTATTTTAATCTATTTCCTTGTGTTCTAGTATGAATAGTTACTTCAGGGTTCAATGTTTCGAGGTTTTCATTAGGCCCTCTGTATACTGAAACATTCACGATATAGATACGCATTTGTGTGCCGTGATTAATATACTGGGCAGTTGTTATGATTAACCAAAGATCAGCAAAAGATTAATGGTCCGTCTTAATAATGGGTTTCTGCAAATCAGAAAAACAATAAAGATAAAGACTCGAGTTGCTTCAGTCTGTTTATGTCGATCTGGACCCAATGCCTTTCAACGGTGTTTTGCGATTTAAGTCCTCCGAGAAATGGTATGTTAACGCTTTGCGGAATTGAGAAGATTTGTATATTTGTTGTTAATTTACATTACTCTAGTCTATAAAGCCAGGGTCTGGAGGAGCCTGGCTTTAATGAATAATGGTTTTGATTTCATTTAAAATCACAGGAATGTTGATTAGAGCCTACCGGTACCCTACGTTGATTATTCAGGCGAAATCATTACCATTTCGTTAAATTGAAAGAAATGAACTAGTAAGTAATGTCTGGAAAGTAAAGATGGATAGATAGTATGTTTAGGTATGTAGCGTTTTTCAACTAAAGATAGTGGGTGGATCGTTCTAATGAAGATTAACATTAATATAGCTATAATGCAAACCTTAACCAACAGTTAGAGTATTTTATAAATATGGTGAGGGCGATGTGTTGAATATGTGTTGGGAACAACTTAGGTTTTGTTCGGTTCCACTGCGTCATTCGATCTCATCTTCACCAAAATCCATTCAATTTCCTCCGATTTCATCAAGTTAATAATCCGTAAAGTAAAGCATTAAACATCTGAAGTGATGTGATCAGGTATGAACGATCAATCATATCATAAGATGATTTCAAATTAAGTACGGTAATCGTTTCGTTTATTTTGGGATCCAGCCACCTTACCATCTGCACAAGGTATAGTCTCAATCCAAGCCGGAACAAACACACTTTCTGATAATTTCCTAGACTTTGAAAATCAACTGAATCAACACCTCCTTGCTACCTTTTTCCTTTGATGTAAGCCGATGAATATTTGGAACAGGCGTCCGTCATTAGAAGTGCCTAGTAAAAAGCCAGTCCCAATTTACCTGTAACAACAGAGAACGACATAATAACCCTCTCCTACCGACCTTCTTACTGTGGATTTGTTTTTAAAGTAAAAAAATATAAAATATACCGTCTGTGAAAAATGATAATAATCATAATAATACGGGTCTAGTCAGACAGATGCCAATGGGCTTCTGTGTAGTAATGGGAACGAATACATTGGTTAAGTGTAGTTATACATCAAACAGACGAAACGTGAATCACGATAAATAGTTTCTACTTTACGTCGTCGGACATCGGCGTTGTTTACATATAGAATATACCTCCCTGGTTACATGATATCAGTTGTTTAAAATCACTCATAATTCATTTATCTTACGAAAAAGAATCTGCTTGACATGATCGTGCCAAGGAATGTAGTATTTTGAAGGGAAATGTTACATACGTTAGCCGTTAAATACGGTACGGTATACAACACTTATACGGTACGTATGACTTGCGGTCGCGTGGGGACCGCTGGAGACGGAAAGCAACCAGATCAGTCCGTCTCACACGACAAGAGGTGTATTACGCGTGTTTTCGCACTTTTGTTTAGTAGTAGCCTAGTTATTATTTTTAAAGCATATTAAAAGGCTTGTGGAATTAAAATAATAAGCTATAAGTCTTGTGAGGTCACGGTGATAAACGGGCGTAAAGTATGCTAAACTTTCTTTCAAAATACTTTGATCATGAAAATTGTGTTTTAACTAAATACTAACTTTAATAGCAAAAAGTCAGCATGACAATAAATATAGTAATATTAAAAACTATCCATGCGCTTCTAGTACAGTAATGAACACATTTTTTAAAATGGTTAAAGTAATAGACAAAGATGATGGACACCGTACCGTATATTTTACAAGAGTCAACACCCTCTCCGGGCAGAGAGGGTGTAGAGTACCTCAGCCCCACCATGGTTGGTGCTGAGGCAGGAAAATTTTTAATTATAGCACCTGCTCAGTGTGGCCGGAAATGGCTCTGCCATTTCCGGCCATAATTTTCCTTTCTACCCCACTTAAAATACTTAGGGGGCCTGGGACGGCTCTCCCCACGCCCTTAAATCCGACACTCATCTGGTTAATGAGCTTTCTTAACATCTTAACATATTTAAGTTTATTTTGCTGCACATAGTTATACCCATAGGCACTGGCTTTCGTAAGGAAATCGGTAATAAAGCGGTAAAAACATGCAAAATAATTGTGGTGAATTCCCAGAGATGGGTTAATTTGCGAGAAATTCTTGCTTGCTTGTGGGAGTGCGGGAGGGCGTTCCGATTTCCGGGAGACTCCCGCGAGTTCCTGGAGACTTGGACCCCTGGTAATTAAAATAAAAAAAGGTTTTCCTATGATTGCTTTCTCCCCGCCAAGGAACTCGTTACTGTTACTTGATCTTGACAAAGTAAGCACACCGACATATTTCACAATGTATTGAACCTTTAAAAGTATCTTTTTAAAGTATTCATGCTATGCTTTCTGCAGTCCGCTTAATAATTATGATTTATATTTTTTATTGATTGATTGATTATTCTTATTCTTTACTGTGCTTCCTTTTTATTTTCAGTGTGATAGAGAATCAAAATACGATAACACGGATTGACAATTTAACGCTGAGGGCGTTTCCTCGTCTAGAAATTCTGTAAGTTTAACTATTTTTAATGAAATGAATATATCTACGCACATTTGTCATAAGTATCATATGTAAAATATTCAGTAATTAATTTCTGTATTTAAGTTAGGTTCATTTGGTTTCAATTAAAAGTTAGAATAAGAAAAACAATTTTCTCCACAAACTTATTGGGCGTATTACTATTTTCAAGCAAAGACTAAAAACACACCTTTTCGCATTGCTTTTTAGTCTCTCCTGCATTTTTTTAAATTTATGAGCCTGCCAACTACGGTACTGCTTCAGCCAGCAGTATTTAAATTGCAGGAGAATGGTGCGGTGATTCGGTGCCTCTGTGTTGTTCTTTTTGGTTTTTTGGTTAGCTTAGGATATATCTTGGTTTAGTGTTTCCCTTTTTTCCTTTCGTTTCAATCAGCGCATAGAGACCTCGGTATTATGCGCTATATAAATTTCACTACATACTTACATTCATAGGCAATATGATACCGATCATCAATTTAATTATTTTTATAGTAAAATATCCGTGAATCATTCTTCTTCTTGTTTCTTTATTATCCAAAATACAAAATTTAAACATAAACAAAGGAAACAGATATGATATAACATACGGTATCCTTTACATAAAAGGAGGTTGAAAAGAGGCAACTTCATGCCTATCGAGCTCAACATCTAATAAAATCAAATTAATAGGTAAATTAAAACAAACGCTTCAATAATAGTACTGGTAATAATAACAGTAGGCCTAATAATAAGCTAAAAACATGCCATAGAGAAAAATCGAAATGGAAATCGAAGTAACAACCTTTTATTGTAGTAAAAATCTTTGAATTTGGTTTTGAAGGTGTTTCTAAACTAAACTAGCACTACCGGTATTAGTTTTTATCTGTTCATTATTGATAGTTGTTAACCTATACTTTTATTAGGTTATATCGATTGTTTCAAATAATATGTGTATAGGCCTATCCTTCATTTGATAATCAATCAAAATAACAGCCACACCTTCTTATCCACATATTCGGTTTAACCATAGAGCAAAGAACATTTCTATTAACGTTATTTGATAAAATATAAACAATAATCAACAATCATTATTTAGGTTTAATATTGACAAATAAATTAATTCGTTATGATTTATAGCTCACAGTGCTATAACTACAAATTGTTATTATGCCACTTTCCTTGTCACGTTAAATAAAGATTACAACATTGCCGTGTACGTCATATGGTGTACCGTATTATCTTTCTCCAATTTTTTTTTGCTTAAATCATTTAATATATATAAATATTATGTTAATTATTTAAAAATATGAAATGTCCTATTATTTCACATTTTACCGTATTCTTACGTTTCAGAAAACTTGCTAGGAATAATATAAAGGAGATAGACCATGATGCATTTGCTGGCAACAAGAAGCTGTCTAAGATGTGAGTAAATATTTGCCTAATTTCAACAACAATGGAAATATTTCACAAGTTGTAATGATCATAATTTTTATTTTGATAAGTATACTGTGTTCGAATATATAACTTGATGTTATCAATTTAAAATCGTGTCACAATAACTCTTCATCAAAACGTTTCTTTATTGTTCTTTATTATTTACCCTATATATATTTTTCTTAAGTACCAACTTCGCAAATTTTATAGAAATGTATAGTTAATTAATGAACGGATATATTGTAGAATATAGGAACTTGAAACTTTCCGCAACTTCTACAAATCCGACTTACCAATTCTTTTAGACGGACAACAATTGAAGACCATTGAAATTGCAGCACTGTTGGTCTATTAATTTGGATGTTTGGTAGTCGATGAGGCGAGATTATTTGGCGCGATAATTGATATTAAATTGGATGAATAGTTGTTATATTATTCACACCTCGATTTGTTCTTGTCAACTATTTGAAATATTCACAAAAGCGAGTCACAACCCGGGTGTGTTTGTTTAGCTGAAGATGACGACTTTCAGTTTATCGTCTGAAGCGCAAAAATGATATTTTTTTTCCACCTAAAATCGGGTGGGAAAGTTTGATTTCAATTTTGTTTGGAGTAATCACTGGAAATCATCTGTAAATATAATAATATAGCTAATGAAATATTCAACTTTATAGTACGGTATTCAAACATTGTCATAATTTATTGATAAAGAAACTAAAATAATTATATAAATAATAGGCTTAATATTATATAAATGTACATATATATTTATAATTACGACTAACGCTAAGGATTGAAATAAATTGTATATTGTCTATAATGATCATATAATGGTAATATTGAAATTAACAAATACATTCAGATTAGGCCTGTACGTACGGGTAACTGCCGCAAGTATGAATTCGTCGTAAGAATGGTTCACGGTAGGTCTACGTCCCGTCCATATTCTTATGATTTACGTCTTTGGTTTGTATTTTTCCCCAGAGAACTAGACCAAAACGACCTTAAATATGTACCATGGCAACCGTTTGCGTATCTGTTTAATCTCCAGGAATTGTAAGTACTCTAAAATGATTCAACTATTATGTATATTAAGGGCCTAACAGATTTATCGTAGGCAGTTGTTGCTTAGTGATTAAGATTCTCCCCTTTAAGTCACGGGGCCCTGGATCGAAATTTTTCCTGCGTAACTCCTACATTTTGAATCCATACTTTTGGCCTACGGAAGGCCTACGTGCCTTCATTTGTGTACGCTTTAACATTTCCTGTCTTTATAATGTTATACCTATTAAGTTTGATGTGGTTCTCAGGAACTTCCATTCAAAATTAAACTTGTACGCCTGAATATCTAAACGTAAATGTATAATGGTTTTTGTTGAACATCACATATTCGGATTTGGTCCATAAGGAGCAGTGTTGCCACAGTTCCGATTTTACCGTGGTCAGTACAACGGGTCGGGTGACTCTCCCCTTTTTCCGTCACACATTATGTTCTGTGGTAATGCATGCGGGAGAAACGGCCTCATGTCCCACCTTAATGACGGCGTAATTAGAGCACACTTGACCAAGGACACAAGTATAAGAACAGAAATGATAGGTTTCGTGTGTTGTTAACAAGGCCCTGATAATGAATATAGTTATATTTAACATAGTATGACTTGTGAACGCGTATGGTGTTATGTTTCGATTCCATATGGTTCAAAGCCTACACTGATTCTCGATTCCCTAACAACAATCACTCGCTGTTATTATCATTACTTGTCTACATCTTTGCTAAATGGATATGCTTCAGTAATTTCGGATGCGTAATTTCTTACTAATAATCTCCTTGATGTGAAAAACTTGCATTAAAATTGCCCAACAAAACTGACTAACAACAGCTGTTGGTCATCGGCATATATAATGTCGGCTTCGGCGGAAACGGGGTCTCACCATTCTCGCGACTTTGATGTGCAAGCAGTGTAAGGAACGGCCTGTGTGACACGCATCTAAGCATGTTTGAGTGTGAAATTGATTCCACTTCACGCTGGGGTTTACCACGTGGGTCATGCGCAATGTACCGTTGGCCATGGGCGCATGGCCAACGGCTTTCTTACTAACGTGTACGGCTTCCTATTAGTACTAGTAGACCTCTTTGTGTGAACACATACAATCATGAACTGGGTGGCCTACACCTGATTCGCATAATTGGGTGACAATGACAATGAAAAAAAAAAGAATACGCATAATAATGATCAGTTATAAAATAAGGAGTCTTGTTTTCAACTATTACAAATCGAACATGACCAAATCATCGAGTACTAAGTCTACATACGCGTTTACGACTCTGTACCCTTTTTATTGACACTTTTCCGCTAAATTATCGCAAAACAGTTGTTGAATGCTTTTAGTTAAAGGCGAGTAACGCGCGTGGTTAAATATACGTAATGCAATGTGTTGTCCCTGTTAACTTTTGTAGTGAGGCATCAGGTAAAGTAAACGATACCCTAGCCATGTCCGTACTGCGTATGTTCAAATTATCCGCTTAATGAGCCATGGACAATAGGTTGATGACGCTCCTGTGGATATGTTCTTTGTTTTCAAACGGGACCGAGCTGTCATAAGTTTTCCATATAGCTTGGCCTTTGGCTTAAGTTGCTTGACCACGGACATTAGCCTGGCGATAGCGTAATATGTCAAGCTGGGACGTAGTTAATGTTATTATAAATGCTTTAGTTCTGTCCCTGATTGCCGACCATACTGGCCACAGATGTTGATAATGCCGTACTGGATAAATCTTAGGCGTGTTTGCTTCCCCATCAATTGGTGGCGCTATTCAAATATTGTCTTGCCGTTGCTTTTACTGTTCTGTAAAAAAAGTCCAGTCAAACAACTAAGGAAAGAAGAAAGTATATTAGGAAAGCTGCAGAATAACAAAGATATATTATATAATACCTCAATGTGAATAATTAAAATAACCAATAAGTAGTAACTATGTACGCATTGCTAATCTATATAGCTGAACTGTCAATAACGCGAGCGGATTAGGCCTATCTAACATTGCACGTTTCATTTAAATAAACTAACGTAATGTGAAACATTTTAAATACTGATACAAACAACAGATTTTATTTCTTTTACTACTCATATTGCATATTTCGGCCATGTAAGTGACTCACGTGTCTTTAACACGCGCCAGTAAGAGTGTGCGCGGCGTCTGTTGTCAAGAAAACATGTGACTACGATAGTGTAGCAATCTTGATAGCCACTAGGGAGTAGTCAGCTCATTCGGTTGAACTAAACAAAGCTTTATCTATCGCTTAAGTACTCTTAACCATCTTACCCGCTTTTAGTATGCTTTCAACAAGTCATTTAGCAGAATCAACTACCATTGTTTGTTTTAGATTAATAGTGGCCTGTTTTGTCGGAACAGCCAAAGCAACGGTGTTGCCTCTTTCAAGGATTTTGACCTAATAACTGATATGCATAATTTTTAGTGATTAGAAATGTAAATCTTGCTCGCCTTCGAATAATATAATGGTTTTAATAGGTAATTACACGCCCACAATGTTATTCAATCGGAAGTATTTAAATGACTGCAGTACAAAGGTGGTAGAGTGGTGGTGCTGAATATGATAATAATATAAATAAGATATGACAACTTATGACTATAGTGATTGTAGCGTTAACGATTAGTATTTAGTGTTTTTATTATTATTACCATCATTATCATCATCACGTCATCATCATCATCATCATCATACGCCATTGTAACGCGCAAAAGTATTAAAAAAAATATATGAAAAGTATTCACGTCTAGGAAGCTACAGGGTATGGTCAGGCATATATTTTAATTCGTTTATTATGAGTCTGATGATAAGTACAACATTTAAAATGAAAGGATAATGCAACATTCACGTTTTTCGGCCGTGTATAGATGGTTGTCTCTTTTGGGCTAATACGATCGCTGTATGTGGCGGGCCAATTTATGTGTTATTTTCATTGTATATCGTTTTAGGTCCTATCACGTGGGCTGATGTAAACAATAATAACCTTCATTTTCATTCATATACATAACATATGCCTATCTGGTAATGTTATAACTTATCATGTTTCCTTCCGTATTCTTGTAAAAAAAAATGCGAATAATAACTTTCCTATAATGTTGCTGAATATTTTTCCAAAAACCAAATCCAATATATGGTTCCAATAGGCACTGTAACTATCGTTGTGAGTCGCCCTCATACGGTACCGTAAGCTACTTATTACTATCACGGTTCTACGAATACAACTTGACTACTGCTCACTAGGCTAATGACAAAGCTGTATGTGGCCAAATATATGTGTTATGTTCATTGTATATCGTTTTAGTTCCTATCATGTGGACTGATGCAAACAGTAATAACCTTCATTCTCATATACATATATGCCTATCTGGTAATGTTTTAACTTATGTTTCCTCACGTATTCTTGTAACAAAAAATATATGAATAATAATTTCCCTATAATGTTGATGAATACTTTTCCAAAAACCAAATCCATGGTTCCAATAGGCACTGTAACTGTCGTTGTGCGTCGCCCTCGTATCCGGTAAGCTACTTTCCCCATTAAACCATGAATATACATTTTTTTAATTATCCGAATACAACTTGACTGCTCTCGTATACTGAATGCTGTATGTTGGTGAATATGATATCGATGATTATGATGATAAGGTTAAAGATTATGATGACGAGGATGGTGGTCATGATGATGATGGTGATCATACGATGACAATGACGATGATAACGACGACAAAAAACGATACCAACAACAACGACATCATTAACAGTAATATTGCTTTTGTTAATGCTTAATCTTTCAATCTTTCGACAAGCAAAATGTAAAAACAAGAAAAAACAAAACATGTGCTTGTCTGGACGATAAACAAAACTTTAAATCTGTCATCTCAAGATGTTCCATATCCATTTTTGAAAAGAAAAAAAGAAAACATGCGATAATAATGTAAGTTATAGACATAGTCACTAGCCAAAGAACTGAAATAAATGCTGCGCAAACTTAAACAACAACATTAAAGAAACACACACGGTTTTAAACTAATTAGTAATAGCCTGCATTGTGTATATGAGTTGCATTTGCATTCGATGTAGGACCAATGATAATAAATTTTAGAATTTTAAAAAGGTATCTTCGCTTATCAATCAATATGTGTAATTTGTTACACATATTGATTTGCGGTTCTTTTACTGTCACGTTTAATACCTATTACTGTACTATTCCTATTTGTAGGTCTTTTTGTATAGGGGTAAAATACATATTGTTATTTTGTATATCAATTTGCGAGTATGTATAATTAATTATATTTATAGATCCAAATGTTTAAATTGTTTTGTCTTTGTAATTGCTGTGCTTTTGTACTTTTAAGTTTGCCTGATTTCGTTTTCCTGGCTTACTGCTTTTGTTTTTGTTGTCAGCAAAATGGATTGAAAATAAATAAACGTCAAGAAATAAAGGCATGAAGGGATAACAATGAATAGCCCTAGACTAGCATAGAGTTGAGGAATGTAAAAGTACGAAATTACAGAATGCTGAGCATTACGTTTTAGTGCAGGCATATGTAATTTGTGGCTTCCCTTATAATGCCATATGTGAGAGGCAGGCGATTTATTATATCAAGCAGGCCTAATGCCAAATGAATAACATAATTTTGAGTTTTCTAAACGTCTGAGCGTAGCATATAAGAGTTCATGTTACTGAACAGAAATACGGTACAAAACTTTAACCCATTCTCGTTTTAGGATTTCCATTCAAACATTAGTTAAGGTGCGACATACAGTATAAGTCTATCGTTTCTTGATAATACTGTAGAGCGTTGATCCTACAAACTGCAAATTAAATTGTTGCGCATTGTAATTTAGCTCGTTTTGAAGAGATCTAACCGCAAAACCATATCAGAACCATCAAGAACACTATATATGTCAAATAGGCCTACCGGTACTACTATAACTAGGCCTTTTTGAGTAAAGATGTATTGTCCCATGCTAAATACCAAAAAAATCATAAAAATATTTGTTGAA